AATCAAATTTTTACCCATTATTTATTCAACTTTCAAACAAAACTTGAATGTAATTCTAATAAACAGCGTATTTTTTTTAATTTTAGATGATGCGTTTATTCATACATGTATCTCTTTAACCCCCTTCGGGATTTCTTTTTGTTGTTTTTAGAAACGAACTTTATAGTTGTGTATTGCGAAGTTCATATCTATTGAATCTATAAATGTTTCTTTGTCTGCTTCTTTTTCGTCCTATCCTCTTACTACCCCTACCGCCCCTGGCTACGCGCCTGCTTTAAAGGAAAAATGAAACAACCATGATAGTGATAGCACACAATTGGGTTAGTAGAAATTAAATTACACCAACCATGGATAAATCACGGCCGGGAACGTCATACCCAAGTTTTGTGTTATCGGGCGAGGGCCGGGGCGTAGCGACCAAGCGAGATTTTTGCAATGTTGAATGCTGTAATTATGCATTCTAGAAAATCCTTAAGCCCAATATGTACGTTCTTTCCGCATAATTTCTTTCTAGCTATATTTCTAAATTTCCTGGGGGATGTGTCCCCCTATCGGGCCCAGGATCGCCGCCCCTGTCCATGATTACTACCAACATGAGTTCAAATACATGCACAAGCGAGTTGGTATGAGCTGAATCCAAATGAAGGGCAACATAAGAGTTGTGAAGCGGCCCTACCGTTAATTTAAAATTTGACTGTTGAGTATATAGCTTCTATTTAAATGACATACACAATTTTTTCCCCTTTACAAATTTCTCACTAAAGAGTAATGACCTTTGAAGCGATTTTGGGAACACAAATTCGGTCCGTCCGACCCCGGAGTGGGGGGGGGGGGGTGGTCTCTTTTTTTTTTTTTTTTTTTTTTATCTCTCTCTCTGTTTCTTTTCTCTTCTTTCTTTTCTTTTCCCTTCTCCTTTCTTTTCTCTTCTCCTTTTTTTTCTTCTCTTCTTTTCTTCGTCTTTAATTTTAGCGCCGCCAATAAAGGGGGGGGGGGCGGCCGTTTCGGCCCCCTGGATCTGCCACTGCTATATAAGAAGCCACCATTATTATTATTATTATTTCGTTATCAAACACACACTTTCGGGTTAGCTGACGCCCGAGTATAACTGTCTTTTAGCATCTGGCTGACCAAGTATGAGGTGATGGTTGCCCGGAATATCAGAACTTTAAAAATCTCTCGCTGCATCACTAGCGATGACTTGTAGCACCTCAAGGTGCCACGGAACACCGGTAGAAAAAAGCTGGTAAAAGACATTTCAACATGGCGTCCAAAATGCGTTACCCAGAAAATAAAATGTTATTAGATCTGTCATTCAATGGCATATAGATTGTTTGAACAAATAATTCAGATATGGTCGCAAATGAATTGGACAAACTTTAACTTTAAATGGCTTTACTATTCCTCACCATGCTTCTTTACATACATCGTCACAAAGGACACTTTCTTTGATTTTTCTATTTTTTTTCTTCACTCTAAGATGTAAAATGAGACCAACGGAGGAGAACAAATATCGCTACATAAGCAGTACCTTTACAATGTCAAATTGCTGATAACTTCTGCCAGGTTATATTAATATATATTATGTGTTTTGTATGGCGGTTTTTTAATTTAAAAAATGTACACTTTAGCCTAATGGCTGCAATACGGGTCAGTATGTCTCAGAATGGGTACAAATTCGTTAATCAACTTTACTGGCGGATTTTAATTCTTTTTTAATCAGGTGCTCTATTGTCCTTAACATCATCAACATAATTGTCTTATTCGTTTCCCAGTTAAACGGTAAAGTCTGAATATTTTACTTTAACTGAAGGATTTTTCGGAACTCTCCCTGACTATCTAGCTTCGGCTAAACGAATGTTTCATTTGTACAAGGAAGCGGCGTACATTTCCCCGTTTTGCATAAATGAATAAATGTAAGAATGAAACGTGATGACTTGTTTTTTTTTTGGTAAAGCCTGATATTAATGATGTGCAAGGCCTCAGTGACCACGGTAACTACAAGCATTTACCAATCAACTAAGTGGAAAACAACATTATAAAACATGTCACATTTGAGCCAATGCGCTAACCTTGAATTATGAAAGACATTTAACAGAACTGCCTGTTGTTATTCTTGACATGTAAAATTGTATTGTACAAAATGAAGGGGGAAAACAATGATGTAGTATTTAAAAAATAATTCATGACTATGTAATAATATCATTGCCCTGTTTGAAAGTTTTGAAATTTGGCACGGAAGGCTATTAAAATGGATACTTCGTTGTCTGGATGTTCTTGTGGTTTTTGGAGCAGGTGTATGTTCCTATACTTAAGGAAGAATGATTTTCTCATGTTTTTACAAGTTTTCTTGTATTGTTGGTTTAACCTTAACTATTCCTCGTTTACACAAATGAGGAAATGTCTCTTTATTGTTCTTTCTATATCTCATCCATTTTCCTCCAACTTCTTCTTTCCTTCCTTCTATTTTACCAACTCTCTCACCAGTAAATCCTTCGAATCTCTTTTCAAATTCTCTTCATCTATTAGTTAGATCTTAGTTGCAACCAAAACTTAATGTTGGATTTTAAATAAAAAATCCTAAATCTAAGATCTAAAATTTTGCAGGTCATATTTTGCTCCTATTGCTTCTCTCTCTACTTTACCAAAGGTACTATGTCCCATTTGCAGGCCTAAAAAAAGAAAAGGTTAAATTCCAATGGCATTTGAAAGATAATACTGATTTAGAATTTCCGTTAAAACGAAAGGGCTGGAAATGTCTTTTGGTGGAAAAATAACGACGATTTGTTGTCAAATCGACCTAAGGGATTGGTATCACTTATGTAAATAGTCTGATCTTCAGATTCTCCTACGGAAAAGTCATATGTTTCGTGCTGCGCAAAGATTCAATCAGTTTGATTTTGGCCATTACAAGAATTCGGTTATTAATATAGATAAATGCTGCATGTACTTGTTACAGCTCATTTTACGTAGTTTATTACCAAAGTAAAAAAAGAAGTCAGTCAGTAACTCAATAATGTCTGACAGTGAAGTTTATGAAGTAAACGGGTTTCCTTGCATAGTTTGACTACTGGGACGTTGCTAACGTCTAAATTCACAAGTAGACATACATGACATATTCATGATTTCTGCAATGTTCTACATAAATTGATGTTCATAAATGACGAAATTTTTCTTCGACGTTCTTGTTATGTCTCATCTACTCTTCCCCGATCTTTTCTTCAGTTTCTTTTCTCTTTTTTCACGAACTCTCTCACCCACAACATCTCCCCATCCTCTTTCCAATTCTCTTCATCTATTATCATTATTTATTTATCGCAACTAAAAATTAAGGTTGGATTCCAAATAAAAATCTGAAATCTAAGATCTAAAATCTCTCTGGTTACAATTTGCTTTCATTTTCACTCCCTAAGTCTTTCTACTTTATTAATCACCAATGTTTTCCCCTCTCTTATGCTCACTAATCGTTCTCATCTCTCTACGAGTCAAACAAAAACTCTTAATCTCTGTCACTAACCTCATCTCTCTGTGATTTTATTCCGATATGTCATAATGCTTTACATTGATATAAAACGTAATTTTGATGAAAAAGATTTATCTTGGTTAAAATACAGGCGCTATTGGTATAGATAAAACTACAAAGATACCTACACACCTCAAGGATATGATTTTTGCTATACAAATATAATTTGTTGAAAGGTATTCAAAAGATTGATATAACAAGTCATTTAAACTTCAATATCTCCTAAGGAATATTGTGCACTGCTCATACCTTCGTAGTTTTATATCGTGAAATATTATATAATAAATTCACTATTTGAACATCTTATACTGTACTTTTCAATATATGGGTCCCTTAAAATCGATTAACAGAAAATAAAAGCAGGCTTTTTACAGTGAAAAGAACTGTCTTTGGAAATATGAAGAAATTAAATAAAAATAAACACAGGTACTACGTTAAAGCAGGAAGCTTTAATGGTTAAAGGAAACCTATCCCTGGGAAATAACTTAAGATATTTATTGTATTCTTGCCTACTAATCTATAAGATTTCCAACCAAAGTGTATGAGAGAAGTATAAACTTAGCAAAATGCAAAGATTCTCAGCACGACATGGGCATGCATCTCCCTTTTTTGATAACGTGACGTACGATGCGAAGTCCTTTATCAAGTTATTATATTCATATTTTGTGCATACTTTCAAACATAGGTTGTTCTTGACAACTTGAAAACTTGCCCCACGTTTGCCCGACATAGCAATAAATAAGACATGCCGACTGTATACTGAGTATTTAAGTTCATTCATTATTAATTCCAAGTACTTAATGGAGTTACTCGTCACTAGGTCCCAAGGAAAGAAACATCCTACATCCATACGACGAATGCTAAATATAAGCTACCAACTATCTTTTTTTAAAAGTTGTTAAAAGAATTGTGAGGGATAAAAAGGAAATAAATTTTCTTCTACTTTTAGTTTTTGTTTTTACACTTCTTCAGACGTATACAACGCATGCGCAAGACGGATATGTATTATTAAAGGTAATATCGATATGAAACCCAATTATGATCATATAAGTGATGAAACAAGTTCAAAAAGCCTCGTACAAGCACACACCAACAAAATATTATCGGCCAATGACTATTCTATTTTTTGTTTCCCTTCACTTGGGGAGGGTGAGGGGCACGTGTCCCCGGTGCCCACTGAATCCATCATTGGCTCTTATGAACGATTGCAATGACCAAATGCGAGTTTGATTAAGCCCATCTTGTTGACATGTTTACTCTTACTATATTGAGTATATCACGACTTGAAAAAGTGTCCTTGGCATATAGGCCAGTTTTGGGATATAATCTGCACATTGGCATATGAATGTCATTTTTACCAAAAATGTTAAACCTATTGATTAAAGTTCTGTATTTATCAAACGTTTATGCACCGATGACAATTTCTATGGAACACTGTTGGAATTATTATTCTCAATACAGCAAACATAAGATATTCATGATGTACATTTATGAGTTTGACAGTGATTATACTAAAATGCACGAAAGGAATACTACTAAAAGATCTATAGAAATTTGGAGTCATCTCATGTAATAAAAACTACGAAGTGGTCTATTTTGTGGAGTGGCTTCGTTTTCAATACAATTATTTTGTAAAGAAATAAATGACACAGAAATCCTTCTGTAAAATTACTATACAATTCGATAGAATTATTGTGTCGAAATCGTTTGGTAGACATCACAATCTGTCGGGATTTCGAATTTCTTCCGAAAAAAAGTGTAGAATTTTAATGCAAGAACCCTAAGCCTCCTCACCAAATTATAATGTAGAACCGCTCATGCCCTTGTACACAATTTTTACATTAATAGTATGGTGAGGTCCGACTATTTAACACACCCTTTAAGCCTTGTAACCTCCCCATTCCCTGCCAGTCTCCCCTTCAACCCGGGCCTCTGACCTACTTCCTACCAGTACATAGTGAAATGCAGCCAATCAACGGTGTAGAGCTTTGTTGGTAACTGCTAAAACGGAAAGGACTTGTTGTGACTGCATTTCTTCCGCGTTTAAGCTCAACACAGACCTTGGCCTCGTCGCAGTTAAAAGTAGGAGCAACGAACGGATACACGACGTCCCGAAAGATGAATTGATCTCCTTCGATGTAGCTCTGCGATGCTTGATCAACATTGAGAACTTGCTCGGTGTAACCTATTGTGTGACTGATAGTGACCAAAGTGAATGCAAAATGAACAGTTCACATATTGACTTGTATTGCTGTTATATGAAATGGGTGCATGCATCTACTGTCTTGATTTCCGCGAGGGTTACAGTGATAAACTTTCATTTCCCATCTCAGGCTCGAATGACTTCAAGCTATCAACAATTAATAAATAAACAAATAAATTAATTTATAATATATAAATGAATAGATGAATAAATAGATGAGTTAACTAGTGATTTAATCAATAAAGATATTAATGAATTCAATAAATAAACTAACTAAACAAATAATCACCTTCATTTCCGAATATCTGTCCTTATAACTCGATTCAATTCGGGTTTTATTCATGAAACCCTTTTTGTTAAAGTATGATACACGATTGTAGTCCAAATAGTTAAAATACCATGTTTACCATACAGAATGGATAAAAAAAAAAAAAGATATTGGTAAACAATGAACTTCAAATGCATGAATAAAGTGTTGATGAGCCAATTAAATTGATAATAAAATATAGGGGAATATTTAAGAATAATAATAATAATCAAATTAAAAATAATAGTGAGCAGTTGTGCGGAAACTGTTTAATTGTGAGCGTACGTCTATCAAGTAATTCAAGAAGAAAAGCAAAATACATAAAAGTTTAAATTTAACATACTTCAGGACATAATTTTGCAATAATATATTTAAAAAATCATTTTGAACATGAAAGCAAAGTTTTATACGCATAGTATACAGGTATGTTGTTGCTAATAGACAATAAAAGGCAAATTACATTAATTTAAAAAAAAAAAAAAAATTGCGCAGGTTTTATGACTCTTTATCTGTTTCTGTAAGAATGTCGCAAGAGCATACCTGTGAGTAGGATTTACAGGAGCAATCCAGGCAGACAACTGCCAGAGAGATTCGCCTATCACTCCTGTCGTACTTCTGGTATATCTAAATATGACGTCTACCGCAAGAACCAGTGTTGTGTGTCCGTTAGTTGTCACGTTACTTTGTATGGTGGGTTTGACTTTACGCACGGTCACCACTGGTATGAATCAGAATTTAAGAAATAGATTTGATGACTAATTTATTACTATCATGATACGAAAAAAGAGGGGGGGGGGAATAAAAACACGTTGGATGCTGAACATTTGAGTTTGGCATGTCTGATATGAACGAGTCACAGTATTCAGTCTTACATGCCTGTTGCAGAAGAGGCGTCATTAGGGACTTTTAGATTCGCACGAAGACAATGGGGATTGCTACGATCGACGTCCTTTTAAAGGTACTATGTCCTATTTGCAGGTCAAAAAAAATGAAGGTTAAATTCCAACTGCATTTGAAAGATAATACTTATTTAGAACTTCCCTAAAAAAAAAGGGGGGCCTGAAAATGTCTTTAAGTGGGAAAACAACGACGATTAGTTGTCGAATCGACTTAAGAGCTAGAGAGCCAGTAAGTAATAGTCTGATTTTCAGACCATTGTACCGAGTGGTCGCACGTTTTATGCTGCGCAAAGATTCAATCAGTTCAATTTTGGCCATTACAAGAAGTGGGTCATTGATGTAGACAAAACAATGCTCATCTACTCTTTACAGCTCATTGTATGTATGTTATTACCAAAAGAGAAAAAAGGCCAACAGCCACTCAATAGTGTCTGGCAGTGAAGTCTAGCAAGTAAACGGGTTTCCTTGAATAATTTGAATATTAGGACACTGCTATCGTTTAAATTTCACAGATAGGACATACATGACATATTCATAATTCCTGCAAAGTTTTATAGAATTTGATGTTGCTGCAAAAGGGACATAGTATCTTTAATGTACTGCCTTAAATGGACGTCACACGTATCAGTCCACGCAAATCTAAAAGTCCCTTATTAGTGACGTAATACTGCGGTAGAGCGCAATTTGCGTGGTTTTGGGGTAAGCAATGTGAGACTGACAAAATAAACAGAACGTCCATGGCATTTAATAAATGGTATTTGGCAAATTGCTTTCACCAGTTTAGTAACCCTAGTAATAACGCAGTTGAAATGACGACACGTGTGCAACGGGAAAGTTAGACATTTAGAAAAACACACAACGTATACGCAGCACTTCGAGACTAAAAAGAGGATGTAAACTTGAAAAAGGGGGTTGACGAAAAGAAGAGCAAATAGCAAAAAATAAGCAGATATAAAGAGGGGAAAGAAGAAAACAAAGAGTTAGATAAGAACGCGAAGGAAAACATTTTCGTGTCCCCCCCCCCCCTCCCGATCAACTTCGAAACCCTTTATTCGTAACACATTATTAGTTGAAGAGTCCCGGAATCAGGCAATCTAGAAATTAAAGTAAATTAAATCCTGCTTCCCTTGATTTTGGGGTTTTATGTAGGTGTGTTCCTATAAGAGGGCGGGTGGGGGTGGGGAGGCTATCAGGAGACTTACCGTACGGGCAGATATAGCAACAGTCTCCTGGCGGTCTAACGGGTTCAACGCAGAGAAGCCCCTTACATTCTTCAATCACGCAACTAATAGTGCCGTTTGTACACGTGCAGGTCATGCATTCGTGAACGTCCCATACTTCGGAGTGAAGATACGGCACTCCAAGATAATAACAAGTTGAAAGGAGTCCTGCAGAAAAGCTGCTCTCTGAAAAAGAATCTGAATTGGAATCTGCATCGAAATGCATAGAAATCATGAGAAGTGTCACATTATGGTAATCAAAGGGAGGGGTTGTTTTCAACGTTCAACATTTTGTTTGTAAAAGCTGAGCAAGTTTTAATTGTCTAATCTATATAAATGGTTTAAATATTCCAATAATTGGAGTACTTTACCACAATTTTTTAAATACATTTAAATGTAAAAAAAATATTAAGAAGAAAAACAAGAAGAAATTGTGAAAGTTCACTGTAAGTAGATTCTACTTTGCGAAACAATTTTTGTAGACGTATACACAATATAATTATAATAGAAATGTTGAAAATAAATTCAAAAAACTGATAAAACACTTTCAAGTATTATTCATTAATAAATATGTAGAAGAAGAAGAAGGGAAACCATAATAAGCGTTTGCTTGATAGCGTAATAGCCTGGGAAGATGTGGATGATTAAAAGAATAACAAAAACTAATGATGGTGATGATTATGATGATGATGATAATAATGATGTAAATGATAATGGTGATGAAAATTTAAATATATTGACGTAAATATTCTGACACAGACAAAGTATTAAAGAATACGGGAGTTATAAAATATAGTGATGGATGTTTATAGAAATCTGGAAAAAAATATTGAATATTTACTCAGCATTGAGAAAAGATCGAACAATGTACTATCACAGAAGTGCTTTCTTCTTATTGAATTCAAATGAATTTAAGATTTTACAAGATTTTATTGGGTCAGGGAGTGCATTCCATAAATCTGGACCATGATGTCTAATTGATGTATGCAGGATCAATAATTTAGGATTTATCAAATGAAAGTTTTTATGAATTTCGAGTAGGGTAAGAATGGGATAGTGTTAATTAATATAAACAAATTCTCAGATGAATCAGGAAAAATAAGGATTAGCCTATATTCCAAGCGCCATTTGTTATGCAATGAATAAATAGGGTTCATTTTTGTCTTTGCACTTGAAGCCCACACCAAGTTTTGAAATGAAATGTATTTTGTCTAATAAAGTATACCATTATTCCTAAAACTACATGTAATTGTATGTCGTATGTTTTAATTCAAGATAAGGTTTTCATCAGTAAGAACACCAAATTTGTGTGTACATTTCTTAGGTTCTAAGGGTTTATCATAAATTACAATATTATATGGACAATTTGGGGTTTAAAGTGTATGAAGCTCGTTTAATTAATATTGAGAGATGGTTTATTACTTTCAAACCAGTTAGATACCTTTGGTAATTCTAAATTAAGTATACGAATAAGGGCATCCACATCCTCATGAGAGTAAAAATGTCCGTGCCGTCAGTAAAAAGTTTAAACGATAAAGAGGATGGTGCATTGGTTATATCATTAATATACAATAATAAAAGACGAGGACCTAATATTAATCCTTGTGGGACTCCACAATTACAATTACAAGATATTCCGATAAATTCCGATGATTGTTTGATGGTGTGTTTCTACCTGACTGCTAACAAGCATGTGTATGCTTGTAAGTAAGTTTTTTCATACGCAAGCGAGCCCAGATTGAAACAGAAAAATTTCTTTATCTTTAAAAGTATCTTTTGAAGTTTTGAGACGCGGGGCTAGCTAGGGTGCAATTAAAACCCCGTAAAGTCAGAAAAGCTTTTGAATTCGTAATGGCTATCGAGGCCCTGTTCGAAGAGAGGAGCAAAATTTGTCCAAAATTCACCTTCGCATATCTCCCTTATTTTGGCTTTCAAGCTGAAGAAAAATTTATAGCATATACAACATGGTAATATCATTCTTAAAATAAATTTTGATTAAATAATATAAGGCATTAAAAAAAATATAGGCATTTTTTCTGTTTCAGATGTCGGTGAATCTGGGCTCGCTTGCGTATGACAAAATAAGACGCATTCGGAACCGACGGTTTTAAGTTCCCTTAAAGGTACTATGTCCCTTTTGCAGGCCAACAAAATGAAAAAGTTAAATTCCAACTGCATTTGAGAGATAATACTTATTTAGAACTTCCCTAAAAAAGGTGGGGCTTGAAAATGTCTTTAAGTGGGAAAATAATGACTATTAGTTGTCAAATCGACTTTAGGGCTATAGAGCCCAAAAGTAATAGTCTTGATTTTCAGACAATTGTACCAAATGGTCATACGTTTTATGCTGCGCAAAGATTCAATCAGTTTAATCTTGGCCATCACAAGAAGTGGGTTATTGATGTAGACAAATGCTCATGTACCCTTTACAACTCTTTTCATGTATGTTATTACCAAAGAAGAAAAAAGCCAGTCAGTCACTCAATAGTGTCTGACAGTAAATTATAGCAAGTAAACGGGTTTTCTTGCATAATTAGAATATGAGGACACTGCTAACGTTTCAATTTCACAGATAGGACATACATGACATATTCATAATTCCTGCAAAGTTCTACAGAATTTGAGGTTGGCTGCAAAAGGGACATAGTACCTTAAGTTTAAAACCCCTCTACTGGACTTGCTAATGAGCATTCCATACTTTACCTAAGGGAACTTGCTCTGTGACTTGGCTTCGAACCTTGAACCTCCCGGTTACGAGGCCGCTGATTTACCACTTAGTCATCACACTTCCACGAGGTTAAAAATATTGAAGATAACAAGTATTGATAAACGATGAAATAAATAGCACTTTGTTCTAATAAACTTGACAAGTATTCTAGCTGTATAATAAAGTTATGAAAGACTTACCTTGGGAAGAGGCATGATGCACCACGAGCACCAGACTTACAAATACAAGACAAGCAAGGTGCCGAGAACGATTCATCATCATTTGGAATGGTGTGACAACAATTGATTTAAGCCCAGAGAGACTAAAGGTTTAAATAGACATGTCGCCTGTTTTTATATTCATGAAGTGTCCTTGATAAACTTTCTTTCCCAAAATACCTTCTTAGAACAATAACCAGAGATGGATACGTAGCTTAAAGGCATAATACAGACGTAAAAAGACTAACCATGAAGAAACAGGTCATGAATAAGATTAAAATAAAAACCGCTTCATGGGCAATTTCACTACCCTCTTATAATGTATATAGAGCTGGGTTTATGATCATGTAATAGTGTCATTGTCATGTTTTAACATTTCATAACTAGGTTCGAGAGGCTATTGACATTTCAAAAGATTGGTTTTTACAGGCTTTGCGCTAGTTTTGAGCTTTACATTTAAGTATCCTGTTTATTTAAACATATTTGTGGCTTACACCCAGTAAATAAGATCGATTGATCGATCTGTATTGAAAAACAAGTCAGAAATTTTGTTTGGACCAGCCATCACTGGTTCATGGCACTGTCACGATGAACTAGAAACAAATACACAAGCTCTCCCGACTTGTTTTTCAATACAGATTGATCAATCGATCTTATTTACTTGGTGTAAGCCACAAATATGTTAAAATAATTGATATTTCTCCCAGGAAGCATAAGTGTTATAAAAGTATCATGTTGTTGTTGTTGTTTGTGTTGTCCGTGAAAGCTTTTGAAGTTACATGTATTACATTTTTTTACAGTGCTGATGCAGTCTATATACATTTACAGCGGATGGTTAATGGCGCTGAATACCTTTAACATTATTTTGTTATAGGAACAAGAATCAATAACTCAAGGAAATTGGTATTTCCTTGTCCGGATGTTCCTGTTGATCTTGGAGCAAGTGTATGTCCCTATATTTAACGAAATATTATTTTCTGATGTTTGTACAAGTTTTCTTCTATTGTTGGTTTAACCTGAACTATTACTCGTTTATATAAATGACGATAAACTCTTTGAACCACATAAATCTCTCCATTCTCTTCAATTATTATCATTATTTCTTTACTGCAAACAAAATTTAAAGTTGGATTTCAAATAAAAGTCTGTTTACTACCCCACTCCCTCCCTATGAGTCTAACATAAACTATCAATCTCTTGCCAAATATATGTCAATTACTTCATCTCTCTGTCATTTTTATTCCTATATATCTTAACATAGATAAAACGACTGCTATGAGAGGCCTGGCTGTTTTATGGGCTTAATGTGACGTCAGTCAGACCTCGAATATCAAAGCAGTCGATAATGTCTTTTATATACCAAATTGACACAAAAATCTACCTAGATTTTTTACCTTATCCTTTTCTTGAGTCAAAATTGGGTAAAACATCACAGAAAATTTGAGACACTGTCTGTTAATCTTCGCTGGAAAGATGACTGAAGTTACAATCATTTAGGAATCGCAGACAAAAAGCACTGTATGCTATCCGCGCTCGCACAAGGTAAGTATTAACACGTAAACCAATGGGGATCTCATCAAAACGTTACTATTTTCCCGGTACCCGGAATCTTTAGGGAATCTCACTCATGAAGTATTAACGGTTACTGGCATCGTTCGTTTCTTTACGGGAATGGCTAAAATCACGAGTTCAATTTCGAGTCCAATCAGATGGCTAGATTTCTAAAAAGAGGTATATAATGTAGAGGGTATTTGTAAAGATCAAAACTACAAGATATGATAATAAAATCATGTTAAGAAACATATAATACCTATACCTTAATAATATCATGTTTACTTTACAAATGTAATTTGTTGAAATATATTCACAAGATTAAAACAACAACTCTTTTAAATTACAATCTCTACTATGGAATATTGTGAACTCCTCATACCTCCCTAGTTTATTTCGTGAAATATGAAAAACATAAACAAAATATAGTTCAATAACACAGCCCCAAACTGAATGAATCTATTCATTGAGGCAAAAAAATGAAGGCCACTTTTTAGTAAGAATACGATCATAAATACAAATATACCAACTGACATCTCTATACAGTCACGATGACAATAATGTGCTAACAATAAGCTATTTACAAGCTGCAAACAAAACATATCCAAACTCCCAATCTTTAGGAAATATCCCTCTTAAAATAGATATTTTAGATCGGAATTGATGCAAATATAATTCATAGCAAAAATCCCATAGGTATCCATTTGTACTG